TCACATCCCAGTCTAGATATAAAAAAGAAAATCTGTATTCTTCCCAACAAATGCTACCATCTAGTGTCTGGACTTTCCTATGTGCTTATAAAACTGGCTAGTATAAGAGAAGCCTAATTTCTATCAAGATTACATGAATCCAAGATGCATTAAATTACTGAAAGTAAGCACGCAGAGAGACAATACAGTGATCATATTAAAAATTTCAAAAAGCACACAATTAAAAGCTGATAAACTAAAAATATTCTACCGTTATCAAATAAATAAAACTAAAAAACATGGCAACTTCTGCACTGAAAGAAAAACCCTGTGAAAAGCATCCATTTATTATGATCAACTAAAACTTCTCTGAATAAACAACAAAAGAGGAATTGTGGGACTTGTTAGTTCTAGAATCAAGGAAATCCAGGACAACCCCTCAAAAGTGAATTCAGTATTCCCCATTTTTAATCCTTTTAAAAGATCAGTTTAAGTATTACACATAAAAACTACAGTAAGTTAAATTTTACTGTAGAAAAATTTGAGTCATGAATGAAAAATGAAGATCAGAAATACCATAACACCATTCAACCATAAAGGGGGCTGATCCTGAGGTACGTGTCAGTAACTCCACCTCTACTATCTGCAAAGTTATGTTCCTTTGCACCCACTGACAATTCTGGATAATGGTATGTTTGATTATTTCAGGAATTAATGTGTTGTACTTTGTGGGCAAAGATGACTGTATCCAGCGGGCAGGGGGGAGTGAAGAAAAGAGACAAGAAATGGGAAAGAAACAGGGAAGAAGAAAAGAGAAAAGGAGAAAAGAAAGAGGAAGGGGAAAGGCGGGGAACAGGGGGGTGAAGGCTAGGTCACATGGGTAGGTAGGTGCCCAATCTTTGCCTTGAACAATCTGCTGTAGCAGGGGCAGAAAAGCAATGAGGAAGGTAATCAACATACATACATCTCAATTATCAAAATCATTATGCGAGCAGGATACGCATAAATACTAATATTATTGGAAAAATCCTAATCTTTGCACTAATATTTTGCTCTCAATATTTCATTGAAATAGTTCTGAATACAGATTTTGGGACCAGATTTGCTAGATTGATAATCTTCTCTCCAATTTCCTATAATTTAAGGCATTGTGCACCATTCGGTACTCTAGCTTCTTACCCATAGGAATCTAACAAGAGATTTAGAAAGCTCAAGACAGTGTTTCCCAAACAGTGTGCCATCAGAAATGAACAGGTGTGCCACGGAATTTTGCCATGGCAATGAGCTACAATAGGTATGAGGATGGGGAATGCCTTAACAGGTGTGCTGAGGAAAGTTTTTATTAATGTAAGCATTCCTTGGGCATGAAAAGGTTGGGAAACACTGAAGTAAGAGGCCAACAAGAAACACATACACTTCCCTTATTCACAACAGATTGCAATACGTTTGGTGGCCATTCTTCCAAACCCCCAACCTCTTCTGTGTATTCTAACAAACTGTATAACTTAATATGCAAGTAGATCACACATTTTATGAGGGTGATTACTGTTAAAGGGGGACAAATAGGTTGGGTTAGGGAGTGAAAGGACCTATGGCTCCAAATACATGATCAAATGATGCGGAAGAATTCATAGTTTCATAGTTTTTAGGGGCTGAAGGGACCTTACAGATCACTGGGTCCAGCATTCATTTGTTCTCCTGGCAGGAAAAACAAAAAACAAAACCTTAGCTGGAGATGCCTGAATAGACACTTGAAGCCCCTGAAGAGCAGAGAGCTTGCACTACTGATGATCAGCAACCAAGTGGCCTCTATGCACAGAACTTGGCGTTCTGTATCATCTCCCTAAATCTGCCTGGAGACAGGATAGCAGCAGTGCAGAGGGCAGCCCTAACTGGCTGACCTAGTCTGCTCAAAATCAGCCCATCTCCCTACTGCAAAATGTGGGCATTGCAACAGGGACATTACTCTGCTCCCTACTCAACTGGAGTTAAGACAGTCCAGTGAGTGACATACCGTCTCCCAAGGGGGCAAGGAGGGGGGGAATAAAAAAGCACCTTGGACACTGGAAGACTGCTGTGGCTTCACCCTGAAGAGAATGTGTACAGACAGCGAGCCTCCCAGGCTGTCCAGACAAGCATGGCTGCGTGGTACATAGCACCACAGACCCATCTGTAGTGCCACACACCACACATTCAGGCATTTCCTCTGCTGCTACCTTGCTGCGCAAGGGGGTTTTTGGAGAACCAGGGGTCAGAAAGACCCGTGCAGAAAATAAGTAGGGTAGCACACATGGAGGCAGCACATGCCACCCAAAACTGGAGCCTGGCCAGCCGGAGCCACACTGCAGCTGCTGGTCAGGCTCCAAGCTGCAGGAGTTATGCAGCTGCAGCTTCCCCAGCCCCCAGGTAAGGCGCTCCCCAGGAACAACTAGCAGCAGCACAAGGTGAACCAAACGTCCGCACTCATCTGGATGCAGCCCCAAGAGAAACTCTCCAGGGAGTGATTTAGCTCTGGTTGTTCCCAGGTTATTTCTTTCCATGAGTGGCCATTTTTGCTGAGAGAAAAATCCTAAATGCCTGCACACTAGTGGCTTCTCCTGGGAGAGCAGGAACTCTCCAAGGAAAAATTAAGTATCTGGACCTGGTGAGTTAAAACTTTTCTTAGAATGCTCAGTGCCAAAATGCTTTGAAAGCCAAATATGAAGCTGGACACTCCTAGACTTCTACACACTTGCACTCTAAGTGAAAAATATTAGAAGAACTGGAAAAAGCAAAGCACGTGTTTACTAAGAATTTTCAAATACTAAACATGATTGATAAATGGTGGTTTTAAAGGCATCAACTAAGATGTCAGGCATTAAATACCCCTATTTCAAATGAGTGAATGTTCTCATGCTCATCTCTTCTACGATCTACAAGGTTTTTAGGTTTGTTTGTTTGTTTTTTTAACTATTTGCTTTTTCAGACCTATGTCTCTCCTTCCATCATTATTAAATTTTTCCCCTCTGAGAGGATCTTTTACTTCACAGGTTTGGTAGGCCTAAAAAGTAGTAAATGTGCTAAGTAGTCAAAATACCTTTGGCCAAACTTCATTCTAGCAAAACTTGTAGGTAACAACAGATGAAAGGAAGATACTTTCAACTGAAATCTGCAAGCAACAGTTGAATCTGCACATCTACTTCCTTCAAGTTTATCCATGAATGACGCATGACCCTGGCAGCTGGCAGGGAGGACATGGCGGCAGTGGGAGCGTGGCAACGATAAGCGGAGGAGCTCCCGCAGATGCTGTCAGCGGTGGGGGGGGTGGCGAGCACCAACCAAGGGTCGGCGACTGCCAACAGCTGCTGCCAGCAGCGACAGCCAGCGGGGATTGTGGACCACCTGCAGACGCCACTGGCAGTGTCACTGGTGGGGTGGCAACTGACAATCACCCGCAGACGCTGCTGACAATGTCAGCAGTGCCTTTTTCTAGGGGTGCACGTGCACCTGCATGTACCCCCTATGCATCACCCCTGTGTTTATCAATATACAACTATAAAATTCCATTGTGAGAAAGTGTTAAAATAATGTATTTTATTTTTCTGTTTTTTTGTTGCTCATCAACTCAAATGTAAGTTGGACTTTGAACTCTCTTATAAATTAAGAAAGTAGCCTCATTTGACAAGTTGGGAAACTAAGGTATTTAGATTAAATTATTTACCTGAAGTTGCATGGAAAATTCAATTCCAGCAATTCAAGACTATTATAGGAGCATGTGGTGGTTTAGTGTAGATTCCTAGAGCTTTTGGATCTCAGCTCTTAGGTTTTCCCTGTTCTGCCCAAACTTACTCTGACACCTTTGACAAGGTAGAAAACAGTCCAATTCCACTTTGAACAATTCTGGTGGAAATTTTTCTTCGACAGCCAGTAAAATTAATAATCAACCCAACTCATACAAGGGGGTGGAGAATTTTTTTTGGAAAACTCTGAGCTTGTACTTACATTCTGAAGTATCATTCTATTTACTATTTCTTTTAGGATACTGGCAGTTTTTTTTCAAATTAGCTTATTACAAATGTTTTTGTACCAGTGGGATTTTAAAGCTAGCTATCTCATTAAAAAGCTAATTAGGAATTCAATTAAATTATAAAATTCTGTCCAACTATATTCAATCTATTTTATCAAAAGCAACATCTATAAAAGGGGAGAAAGACTGTTCTTAAGGGACAGTCTTTTTAATATTAAAAAAAGAAACTTAGTGATTAAACTCATTTGCAAAGGACAATTCAGCCTAAAAAGGCATTATCTCCAATTCTCCTATTTTAGGACATGAAGAAGCCCTTGAGATCCCAAATCTGAATGTAAAAAGTTAGGCCCTACTCCCATGACCTTATCAATATACCCAATTCACTTCAGCATATATCTTGGTTTTGAGAAGTGGAGCATATTCATAACTGAAGTAATGGAAAATAGGTTATTCACACCTATGAGATCAGGCCCAAAGACTTCATGTAGTGAAGTCATGGTACATAAGACAGACACACTAGATGAACAGGTCTTTTCGAAGAGAGTTTAAAGTTCACTTCAACTTTGCTAACATAAGAATTGGTTTTTTTAAGAGCTATACCATGTACATATGATTTTTCCCCCTCCGCCCCTTTCTTCTTCTACTATGAAACCACACATTGGACGGAGGAACAGATATATTTTACAAAATGTTTGAAGAGGCCGGGTTTCCTTCAGTGATGACTATCACAAAATGAAAGGGCTTCAACTTGCACATTATTTTTGCAAAAAGGTGTTCAGTTAAATAATGGAATGCACTGTCACAATAGGCATTTTCCCCTCAAACAACACAAATGACTGCTTTAATAATTACAATGACCTATCGAGAATATCACTTGGAAAGTGGGTTGCAAGGAATGAGAGACCGAGAAAGACAGCACTTTCTATCAGCGACTTATGCTACTAGTATACCTTTTCCAAGAGTTTTTTTTCCATATTTGGAGATGAAATTTACCACCAATTCAAAACCTCTAAAGCAGGCTTAAGTTAAATCCCGACTGTGAAGATTAAATAGGTTCAAGCGGTGTCTAAATTCTTGTGGGAAATGACATTCTTTGCGTACATGCCTTCAAGTTTTGCCTTCTCCATACCAAGAATGGAAGTTAACAAAAACAAATGCTGTCTTTACCACAGGAAAACTGTTCCCTTATGAATAAAAGTAACTGTACTTTCCAGACATTTGGCTCATAAATAATGTATTCATCAAAAAAATAGAAGTTTCTTCCAGAAGCAAGAAAAGCACAGGACAAATGCTTTCACCTTTCTCCATACATTTTTTCCCAGAAGGATTAGCATGCTCCGCTGTTGAAAACTGAAAGCTATGCTTACTACAGAGACTTATAAATCCAAGTTGCTCATTTGCTTACTACAGACTAATGAGCCAACTCTGAAGCATTTTGGACAATCTACAGCAAGAAGCTGCTTAATTTGTCTTTCAAATTAACATTCTCTAATTGTGCCACCACCAAAACAGGCCTCCATGTAAGCAGAACTACACAAAAAGTATTTAGGCAGATTTTAATTGCTACCCGTACCAACCACTCAGGAGCACCGTGATGGCACAAATTGTTCATTAAAGTCAAGTCACCCCCTCAAAAAGGCTGCATTTCAAGAGCCCTGAAGCATGCAACACAGAAGCTTTGATTCTCTTTGAGGAGTCAATCACCAAAATATACTGCAGCACTTGAGAACAGCTGAAGTAGTACCAAGTACACCCAAAATGGGCTCTTCTAATTTTGACTGCACCCCGCGTCCTTTGATAGCAAATTTACTTCCAGTCTCATCTGCTTCTCTCAACCAGGCACTGAAATTAAAGGGGGGGGGGAAGGGGGAGGGATACTGAAACACATTTTGAAAAAGAGCCTGAATCAGTGGACAAGATGAAATCCCCAAGTGCTTTCAGCATATTCCAAAATGCATAAAGTCCAAGACTCTCAGAACAACAGCATCTCTCATAATTCCATTTGTTACCTGTTCAGTAAACCTTTGGTTAATATAATAAATGGGTATTCAATATTTTTTCAAAAAAGAACTTATTTTACAGGGAAAAGTAGAAATAATTTGTTTCATTTCCTAAAAGACATACAAAAAGCCAGAAGTCTTGGTTCCAAAATGATACCTTTTATTAGACCAACTGGAAAATGGCAAGAAAATTGCCTTTTCTGCAAGCTTTCAGGATCAAAGTCCCTTCGTCAGGCTCTGGGAAAAGTGCAGATGGTACAAGAAGGTAAAAAGTCCCTATAGGTAGGAAATAAGCTTCATTTTTGCACAGAGGGAGCTGGAGATGGAAGTCTGTCCCGCTGGGTCCATGACAGTGTCTTTGTGAACTGTGTTGAGTAGCTCTTTGATGCGTTGATCAGGTAGAATTCCTTCCCTGGAGGTGTTAGATGGCAGGCAGGAAGGCAAAAAAAGCCAAAAAACTAAACTTCCTTGTTCAGCAATGAAGTTTAAAATCCAAAAATGGCTAAAATTCAGCATCTTCCACGTTTCAGGGATGTACTTAGTAGCTGTGTTGGAACCAAGAGTTCTAGTTTTCTGTATGTCTTTTTGTCTCAGACCAACACGGCTACCAAGTACACCCCTGAAACATGGAAGATGCCGAATTTTAGCCGTTTTTCGATTTTTAAACTTAATTGCAGAACAAG